GTATTATTTATATATATAAAATTAATATTTATATGTATAAATAATATAATATTTATATTAATAAAATATTATAAGTAAGTAAACCTAATCATTAATAAATTTTGTGGTGGACGTGAATTGTGCTAAAAGCTTGCAACATTATTATTATTATTTATTCATTTTTAAATTTTATTTGTTTTGGATTATTATTCTTGTATATTTTATTTTATGCATATATTTATATTTTTGTTTACTTTTTGAATTTATATATTGTATTTTTATAACTTATAAGGTCAGTACTAACATTTAAATTGTATATTCTGTAATGTTTTAAATTTTTTTGTTCTATTTGAATGCAACCATCATTCACTTTGTAAGTTTAACCTGAAGAAGGTTGGTTAAATATGACTGAAAACATTAGATATTAAAGTGATTAATGCAATTTTTAAGATATTTTAGGAGTGTTTTATTCAGCATTGCATCTCTCAGTAGTTATAAATAATCTTACATTTTATATTGAAAAATTTTCAGTATAATTTATTTTACTTTCAAACAACTTTACGAAAATCTGATACATTATTTATTATTATCATAGTAGTTATATAGCCCATGCATATAATGCATGGCAGTGGTCGATGCCTTATTTTACTTTCAACAATGAATGCTGATTTTATTCACATAATCAAAAATTTCATCTATAATGTATTCTTTTTTGATGGAAGCCATTTTTTTACAATTTTAAACTTGTCATTATTTGAAATTATCCTCGAATACAGATGTCTTCATCTTCTTAAGAGTATAGTACAGTACAGATATTGTACTATATTGATAACACCATCTAGCCAGTAAAGGTATACAAAAGTACAAGTTAGCAATATAAAAATATTAGAAAGTTATAATAGTGGTTCTCAAATTGTGGGGATATGTCTCCTTAGTGAGGCATAAGAACCTTCCTAGGAGACACAAAGAAATGAACAATATTATTGTTTATTTTTGAGTATAATTCCCATACACATTTGATAATCTATCCATGAGTTTTAAAAACAAAACACTCACATTCTTCAATGTGTATTTCATTAAAATTATTACTATGTAAATAACCATTATGGTTATGACTACAGTGTTGTCATTACATCATCAAAATTTCATTTCATTTAGCAGTAAATATTTGAGTTCTATTTTACTTTCATTTTCTTTAAGATATAATTGTGTACTACCAAAAACTGTAATAAAACCTTAGTTTAATTAGAATAAAATGCATTCAAATAACAATTTTATTTGAATGCATTTTATTCATTGAAAGCATTTTAACATCCTTTTATGAAAGTGTAGAAATGAGTTTAATTGCAAACAGGAAAATGTCACTTTAAGCTGGATTATAGTTATAGAACCACTGAATTATAATTATTATTAACTTAATTGTTTTGAAACATGCTACTTTTGATAATATTACATTATTGATAATAATATCTGTGATTATAATAATCAGATTCTATTGCATATGAGTTATCTGATTTCTAAAATCAAAAAATGTTAATTATTTTGAAATTTTTATATAATTGCTTTCTTATTTTACAGAAAATGTATATCTGAGCATTACTACATAACTGAATTATATAATTATAACTAAACCTTTTCTAAAAATACTTGGTATTATTATGTTTAAGAAGAATATTATATATAATAATTTTATATTAAAAAAAGTTTGCTAAAAAAAATGAAGAATAAAGTTTATACTACTAGTAATATAAATAAAAAATGTATCCTCATCAATTTAAAAATATATATAAGGAGCTTAAGTACAAACATGCAAAATAGAACAGAAAAGAAAGACTAAATGAAAAATAAAAACAAGCATTTTAGAATTATCTCTTTTCAAAGAATACTTTGAAAAAACTGGTACAACAATAACATGATACTCATTTTGAATATCATCTGTAACAATTAACAATTCAAATTGATTGCCAAAGTTTTCAATGTAAACAAAACAGCAAAAGCATTTCAGGCAGTCAATGAAAAAACTGATTGAATATGAACTGATTGAATCATTGACTGCCTGAAATGCTTTTGCTGGTTTTTTGACAAATTTTGTTTAAGTTCTATTCTATTGACAAAGAACAGATTCAAATTTTATAAATGGAGAAGAATAAATAATGTTTTTATAACAATAAACAGTAATTCAATAAACTCAGGTCATGTAAACATGAAAATTACATTATAATTAACACTATAATCAGTAAAAATACATTTTTTAAATCCATGTTAATATAGATTTTTCATAACTTTGTTCAATACAATAGTGACATGCTGTCCTTGGAAGCAGTGAAAGTGCTGCTTCCCTTGTATTTTCTAAAATATAAATGCATATTGTGTGATTATTTTCGTATTTTAATATACTTTGAATTAATTAAAATTAATATTTTATTATAACCACATTATGTATCTTATTACAAATTTCTATACTACATGTGAAAAAAATGATAAGATTGCTATTGTATATTTGAATATCAGGGCGGAATGGAAGTGCTGTATTGTCGAAACCGGGTCAGCTTCTAAGCAGCCAATTATACGCATTTGCGCATGCACTTTACAGAGCACCAACCTCAGGCGGTTTAGCTGGTGGAAGCTACACACATATAACGCTTCCAATGATTCTATCCAGGACTAGTTCTGGGCTGTTAGTCCCCTGCCTGCTAGATGTTTGGCTGCTCTCGCCCAATTATGTGAATCAAGAGTAGATTTATAACTTAACCCAACCGATAGAAACTTACTGGTATGTTTTTATGATAGTTCTGTATAGTTGACAGGAGTTCAAAAAAAATCCATTAAAATATTTGATATGATTTATTCTGCTTTTATTCCACTCTCCCATCTTATATTACTTATGGATTTCAATGTTAAAACAGTGATATTACGATTTTGTATGCTTCATCCATAAGGGGATGTAGAAAAAAACATGTACAATTCTTGTACAATGTTAAAAAATTAACTGTTACTTTGACAGCATCATGTACAACTAAATTTAATGAATAAGACGCACAAGGTACAGAAAAAAAATCTAGAATTTACTTTCCTTGTATTTGTTGTCATAAAAATTTGTCTTTTCACTTCTTTCCCAAGGCTACAAATATTCAAGTACAAAGTAACCAGTTTCAACTTATTTCTACTTAAGTAGTTAAATAATTGAGAAATTAGGGAATTAGGAACATAAATAAAACCCTGCTGAAAGAGCTGGAATATTACTTAAACAAAAGCTTAACCAAACCAATCTCTAGCTGAGTACAGTGGGGACTGATTTCTTCGTAATATTAGATGTAATAAAGACAAATTTTTCCAGTTCAATGAGAGTGACTGAAAAGTAAATTTTGGAAATTTCTGTGGACCTAAAATGAATTAGTTAGAAAACAAATGACAGACAATGTATTAAGTTTAACATATTTAGATTTTTACAGCTATGGCGAGAAACATTTAAAATTTACAACAACCCCGTCGCATCCTTTGAGGTATACTAGTGATGCAACGAAAGAGGTATTTGATATTGACCAGTAATGGCACCCTTGGGATTTGGCAGTCCGCATGTATGCACGCACTGTAACCTACTCTGTTTCCATCCAATAGCCACACATTGGAAGCTATTTGACTAAGTGCATTGTTTTAAGATTTAAAAAGTAAAAAATATTTTGTTATTTTTATGTACGTTTCTTTACAAAGCTATATTTAATTATAATTTTCTTTAAAAGTATATTCACACAACTGAATAATATTTTGTACCAGGTATGTACATCCACCACACATTTTATTTCACCAAATAAGTTTTTATTATTTTATTTTTAATTGTAGCCCTTATATCACGGCTAGCGATTCAGAATGTAATTGTGATATTAAAAATGCATTCAGAGAAGTCTATGGTTTTTACTGGCTTATCGAACAAACAAATACGAATAGACCCTAGACCAGTGTTTCTCAACCTCTAACGAATCGTCGCCCTCTTCAATAAGACCGTTACGTAGTATTGCCCCCTTCACTAGAAAATTCGGATGCCGAGGGACAAGACTAACGCCAAATTCGTACTGCATTGAATAGACTAGTGACTACTATAATGTTATTTGTTTAATTATTGTACGATATAACGAATAAAATATCTAATTATTCTTAATATAATGTTTTACTATATCGCCCAAAAAATTGTTTTTTGCCCCCCCAAAATATAAATTGTTACTAATCGCCCCCTCAACATGGAAAAACGCCCACATGGGAGCGATATTGCCCCGTTGAGAAACACTGACTTAGACCATCACTGGCACGCAATTAACTGACTGCCCCTGGAAGTCGGCTTCTTACAGCTTCCCTATCATCAAATGTCATGGCGCGCCACTGCAATACAACATATTTTGTAAGCTACAGTACATTTACTTTTTAAATATTATAATAGATCTTAAATAAATGAAATAAAATTGTTATAAATTTATACTTGTTTTTAATTAAAAGAAAAAATGAAACATAAAACTATTCAAAGTAATTTAAAGAAAGAATAAAAACAAAATTTAAAGCTTTGATGGCTGATATATAATTAAATTCAGAATATATTAAATAAAACAAAAACAAAATATATTTATCATTAATAAGTTTCAATTTTATTTATTTACAGATATGAATAATAGGAAAAGAAAAGTATAAAAATAATGCAATTCAATACATGAATGAATAAATTTTATCTGAATATAAATTTTGATGCTGAAAGCACAATAAAATATTATCTTGTGATAAATTTAATGATTGAAATTATCATAAAATGGCAACATACAAATAGTAACCGTGAATGACAAATTTGATGAATTATAGCATCTAGCATACTTAGTATGTAATTTGAGTTTCACTAAATTCATGCTTAGTTTGTTTTTATTAAAATATTCTTTTAATAAGAATTATTTGTTTATATCACAAATACACTTAAATTCAATTATAAGTTTGGTACATTCTAAAATAAGATCTGTTTAAATTTTGATGTAATTTAAAATAATTGTTAATCTTATCAAAACATTTGAATAATCAAAATTTTTTTTTTTACATTAAATACAAAAAACTTAATTTGTGCTTAGTATCTTATTATAGTAAAATTTTCTGAAACTAAGTTTTATAGTTGTTCTATTATAATTAAAAATAAGTGATTTGTTTTATTATAGTATTTTGTTTAACTATTACATTTGATTATTAGAAATGGAAAAAAGCATTTAATCACCACCAATAGGCCGAAAAAAAAAATAATTTAAAAAAAATTTGTTTGTGTTTGTGTGTGATATATAATATGATATGGCAAATTCTTACAGCAGAATAATTAAAAATTACTTTAAATATTTTAATATGCTAATAATGTTTGAAAGTATTTTATTCTTATTTTAAAAAAGTATTTTATTTTATTGACAATTAAAATTTTAAGATTTATATATTTACTTACCTATCATTTTCTGATGAAGATTTCCTTGTTGAGCTAACTTTAAAGAATGGATGTAAGTAAAAGAACAATCATAGCCAAGAGTTTCACAATACATGGCATATAATAAGCACTCTTCAACATCATCCTTTATAAAAAAAAAAAATCACAAACAGTATAAAAGCTATAAAATTATTATCATTGTTATGTAATTATTTAATACAAAATTTTAGATGATGATAATTTAATCTAAGCTCATCTAATTTCAAAAAAATGTTGAGCAAAGTGCAGAATACGTGAATACATGGTAACTCATACTAACAGAATTTTTCAGATCTTAATTTATTTATCCCATGTAGAAACAAACTTGCTGGTGTGATGTAAGGTGTGGTTTTGTTTCTAAATTTCTTTCTCCAGTTTCTACTATTGTTTATTATTTTTCCCATTGCCATCAAACATCCATTATGTCACTGTTTCCTTCACAGTCAGTCTATTTGCTTGTTTGACTGTACTGGTTAACATTAGCTATGCCTTTACAGTAGTATTTACATTTGAATTTTACAGAATTAGAACAAAGAATGAAATCATCCATATTCTCTATGCCTGAAATCAAATTCAATTTTCAATTCAAACACTTTATAAATATTGATAATGTTCCAAAGTAAAAAAGTAAGTTTAAGAAAAATAAATAAGAACAAAATCTAACTTTGAAGGTCTAGAAATTATTACCATATATACTCATGTCAAAAGTCAAAATATTAGACCATTTTTTATTCAATTATTGTCAACTATTACGTGGATATTAGTTTTGAGGGGCTGAAATTTAAGCTAGAATCCAAAGTACCAAATCAGTAGCAGAAGCCCAACTAATCTCTAAAAGAAATGTTTTCTTCTTCATGGTTGAATTAGGGACTACTGGACCAATTTCTTTGTCGCATTTTTATTTTTATAAATTCAATGTAGCTTGAGGCCACAAAAAAAAATAAATATCAAAATAATTAATAATGACAATAAAAACCAATAAATTTTAAACTGTAGTTGTAGATCTGTGTGCTGGCAATATCTGGCACCGACATATCTGTCCATATATTTATAGATGCCTCCGCTGAGATGACCGCTGCTGCTGTCATTGTTGCTGACCATAATTCCTTATTATTCATTAGGTTGTTTTAGTGAAAATTTTTCTTGCTCCTGTGGAAATCACAATAATCAGTATTAAAATTATTATGAAGGTAATTACCATATGAGAAGGAAGACAAAGAAAACCAACTTAACAATAAGTTTATGTACAATTTTATATATATACAAGTATATTTACACACACACAAAAATTACAGGATGCACTAGGACACATATAGAAACACCTATGTTCCAAAACAACTTGTCAGTATTCAGAGCCGGATATGATACGAGTCCTTGCTGTTGAAATGCAAGTGAATCTATCACAAAAATACTCCTCAGACAATTTGTAGTTCACTAATTCTAATACAAAGTTCTAAATTTCCAGTCAGTACTTTTGTCAATGCGAACAAATTTTTAACCTTCTGTTTGATAACACAAAACCTGCACACACTTCTAACTGCACCACACAATTACCTGATGCACCCTTACATAAAGAAAATATGCCTTTTGTAGCCTCACCAGAGCAAATCCTCATCAGGCACAAAAAAAGCTGATGTTGCCAATCTGTGCTTCCTTAAGTACCCCTTCCGTCTCCCTAACGTGCTGCCAACCCCTATACTATAAATACAAAAAAAAAAAAAAACTTTACATATAGCCCAAAAGCCTACGATGACTCAACAGTACCAAAATATTTTATTTTCGATCTGAAATGAAAGAGTATTGAGGATTGAGTTATTGAAATACATTTCACAAAATATCTACCAATAGATGGAATTTTTAGTAGAATTATGAATCTGGCAAAAATCCTCATGGCAATTACATGATAATAAAGCAGAGTCAGCATGGTGCTTTTCAACATTGTAAACAATATGAACTTTTATAAGGAGCACTACTTATCCTGAGAAACTCATTGTACTTGCAGTGCCTTCAATGGAAAAAATTCTGGCAAATGTTGACTACAAATGTTGTCCATAAAATACTGAAGTCAACTTTTACATGGGATATATGGAAAATTCTAGGTTTTTGGGCCAAAAATAAGGAATCAACTTTTACATGGGATCAACTATTTCTCAAGTATAGGGTGGTTATAATTAAAGTTGCCCTATTCAGACCTGTATAAAGCATATTCTCTTTGATGTATTTTGATGAAACTTGTTATATACGTTATTTGGACTATGGGGAAAAGGAAAATGCAAAAAAAATAATTAGTTCAAACTTCTACCACTAAGTGAAAAAATGGCGCATGAAGAACAAGTTGCCCGGAAAAACAAGCATTGAATTTAGCACTATCAGTTTTAATGTTTCCTTATATTGCTTTTACTACAATATTTAGATCTAATTGAGTATTATTTAATCCATAGGAGAACCTTATGAAGAGTGTTTGTGCAACACAAAATGGAAACATGCAACAGGTTTTTATTCACAACATTGTTCAATGTGCAATCCATTTGCGTCAATCATATGTTCAAAGCACCTTACAGTGTGTTCAACAGTAGCCCAATAGATTTCTAGAGAAATTGCAGCAATATGGTTGTTATGCTTGCTTTCAATTCAGGCAGAGTTCATATGCCTCCTCTGTAGACATGATCTTTCAGAGATCCCCACAACCATATGGACTCTGCCTGAACTGAAAGCAAACATAATAGCCATATTGCTGCAATTTCTCAAGAAATCTATCGGGCTACTGTTGAACATGCCATAAGATGCTTTGAACACATTGAACAAATGTGAAATCCAAATAAATTTAAAATTAAAAATAAATCAGAGAAATGAGAATAAAACAATGTAAACCATTAAAAAAAATTATGAAAGATATTAACTTATAACAATATTTCAATCAAAACAAAATAATTTAATATAAAGATACATAAATACAAGAAAAAATATACAAAAAGCTGTTTTTACCAAACTGTTTTTGAGACGTAAAGAAATGAATTGACAAATAAATTTAGTGACAGAGATAGATACATTATTAGAACTCATAATCATACTTGCAAACCTTTAGAATGGGGAATAGTTGTAATGTTTGTAAAAAACCACTGATTTTTGAATAAAAATGCTGACAGCATAAAAAACGAAATAATTATTAACATTGATATTGCACAATGCTTATATTAAATACTTTTAATAAACCAAATTTAATGTTATCTCTGCACATGATATCTTATGAAGCTATTGTCAGAAACTCTGTCATGAGTATGGCAATAGCTTTATAATCTTTAGCATCACAATTTAAAAAAGGTCAAATATTTTATGAGACATATCATAAATCTACACCTAGCTTTATGATATAGCATGTATCTTAAATTAATATTGCATGAAGAGTGCTTCCCATTATATGCTTTTGTATGGTGTCTTGCTTTGTTAATAATTTCTTTTGTTATGGTACAATGTACTCCTGACAGTTACTATCAGTTTATTGACTCTCACTGCAATTATTAAGGACAATAATTTTTCTGGTTATTTATTTCCAATCTCTGTCTTTTTCTTACCATACTGAATATCTTTTCCTTTTGCCACACAGCAATGCAGGGGAGGCTCTGCAATGCTAGTTGGTAAAACCACCATCAGAGCCTTACTATTTTACAAAGATTACAAATCCTTATAAAATAGGAAGGCTGATGATGGCTCTTTTCTTGAGAAATTTCATACTATATGGCCTGTATATTCTTAGTTGATGAATCAAATGTTTCTTCTTTTTAGGTGGAGAAACTGTAGCACTGCTAAATAATTTGGTAAAACTGTAAAAATAACTTGTTTCCTTCTGCTGTTGAATTGGCTATAATTGATTTAACCACCAACATGATGACACTAAAATTGCCAGACTTGAAGATACAATTTATCTTATCTGCCATTTAAAATTATTACATCTGAGCTAAAATTCTCATACCTATACTAATATACATATATAAAAATATCAATCTTAGTTCTTTCCCAATTGAAGAAATCTGAGAACATCATTCTGGTTTGCTTCAGTTATTTGTAATAAAATACATACAATGTCTTTGGCATATATATTGATGTTAGATTCATTAAATGAAGTGTTTATGTGATAATATCAAATTTTTTAAAAATACAGTAAACTTCCAATTATCCAGGCTAATGGTGGGGAGAGGTGGCACAGATAATCCAGAAACATGGATAATCTAAACTATAATTATTTATTTCTAAAATACAACATTTAGATTTAATGTAGATTCACTTTTTTCAAATTTTTCAATTAATGTTAGTTTTTGTTTTATAGTAAGTATGACTTTCTTTTGATTATTAGGCATTTTAAGGGTACTTATCTGAAAATTAAAAAAAACATCTTATTTTACATAATTTTACACTAAAAGTATTTGTGGGAGAGTTATATCAAATCTAGGCTGCTTCTTTCATCTAACTAAAACCAGTCCAGCTGACTTCAGATACCCCCACCACCCACTTCAAACATCTAAATACAAACACACTTGTAGGATGCATAAACATGAAAGCAAGCAACTATTTAAAAAATACATACGCATATAATTATTTTTTTAAAATTAAATTCATGCACAGATAATCTGCAAACCAGATAATCTGCACACGGATAATCGGGAGTTTACTGTACTGACAAAAGGGAAAAGTGACATGTTCACTGATGGAGCATACAAAATTATGATGGTTGGCAACTATGCACAATCATTAAAATTAAAATTGATTATTTTTTTAATAATTAATTAATTAATTTTGAAATATCCATAAAGTACTTGATTTTGAATTATTCTCTCTCTCTCAAATCTCTCTCTAAAAATCTAAACTCATTGAGTTTTGAGAAAATGATATATAAATAATTGATCAATATAAATCATTGTGACACTTGTTAAATATTGATCTAAAAAGTAATTTTTCAAAAAACATATGCAAAGGAATTTGTTAGCACAATATTTTGGAAAATACTAGTTTAAAACCTAAATTAAAATAGCAATTTTCTGAATATTAAGTATCTAAACATCAACAGTATAAACTATCAAAAGTTTTATTATTTTAATAATGGCAGAATATGATTCTATCATTAAATGATTAACTTAAATAAGAATATAATGTTCAGTTGTTAAATGATAAGCTTTCACCTAATCTTTATATTAAAAAAAAAAAAGGAAAGCTTCTATTTCTAAACTTTCAAAATGAATTCAACTACTTGGAAAATGATTACAAATAGTAGTAGTATATTTTCAAATTGTGCATTTCAAATGTAATTGATAGTTTAATAAATATTTTTTTGAGATAATTTTAACTGGTTCTACTGATTCAAAATATAATTTGAATAAATAATAAACAAGTAAGTGAAACTGAAAACATGATGATGATCATCATCATCATGTTTTCAGTTTCACTTGCTTGTTTATTAATTTATTAAGTTTCACAGATCATTGTAAAATACATATGATGATGATCATCATCATATGTATTTTAAATGCAGAGTGCATGTATTTTAAATTAAATANTAATTCTTGCACCCGATGAAAACGGGTAAGATCAACTATGAGAATGACATGAAGTTGGCGTTAACAAAATCTCACCCGCGAATTTTGAGACTGGTTAATAATACATGCAATTTCAACCATCTCATTAAATTAATTACTAAACATAATTTAAAATAAAATTTTACTAAAAAACTAATTTCATTGTTTTTTTAATTACCTTATTAAAAATACCTTTTTCAATTGCATCGAGGTCGCGGGTCACTTGGCTTTTATAAAAAGGGGGTCGCCACCCGAAAAAGGTTCGGAACCGTTGCTATATAGGAATAATCAGTGACAAATGACTGACTTTTATGTCATATGACTAAAATACTTTAAAATCTATTATTATATAGGATATAAGATTTTGGGTCCTTGTATTGATATTTTAAAATGTTTTAACATAAAACAAAGCATACAATAAGAATTTATTGAATTATAGAGGATTTTAATATGCAAATTCAAAGTGAAATCATATTTTAACAATTACAAATTTTCTTAATGTACTCCAACAATTAACTACACAAACCAAAGCCTGAACTATACAACAAATAATCAAATATTAAGTGAAAATTACAGTACATAATGATAATTTCATAAATTTTAATACTGTACATCATGCTTCTCTTGTTAGCAACAGAGTCATACCAGTCATCTAACACCTTTCAGGGGAAATTTTTGAATTGAAATAACATGACTTCTTCTGGTTTTCACCAGAAGTTCAAATATAGTTAATTGGGGTCTCCTGCCTCTAAGGTTTCCATATCTGGTCTTGTCTTTCATCTATCTAACTCCATTCTCAAAATTAAGGAAAGACAGACAAATGGACGAATAACAGTGGGAATCTATAGGTCTACAATTTTTTCAAAATTGCAGACCTATAAATTCACACTGTTCCCACTCAACAATTTCAAAGTTTATGTTATCTATAAGTGATTTTGGATGGAATAAAAGATTTTAATATGCAAACTCAAATTAAAATCATATTTTAGCAATTTTAAATATTCTTTTCTTACCAAAGTAATATTAGGTTGAGTAAGTTGATTTTGAAGAAAAAGCAATTTATTTTTTATTAATTCATCTTCTTCCTGTAAAATTAAAAAATAGGCAATAACTAATAAAGATAATATTTAAAGAATTAATATTGAAAAAAAATCAATAATTTAAAATAAATTTATCAAAACCTTAATAATTTAGTAAAATATGACTTAAAAATGAAATCATCATTAATTAAAGCTGTGAAAATTTTTATTAGAAACTTGAGAAATTTAAATTCATTTGGATAGAAATTATATAGAAAGCACTTAAACCAACTACTTTGGTAAAATTATATTATTATATTAATATTTTACTTTATAACAAAATTCATATTAAGGGTGCACAAATTAAAAATCCTGAGTATAAAAATAAATCTTTTCGAAAGTTGTGGGTTTACAAAATGAACAAAGAACATAAAATAAATCAAAGAAAATATATTTGAGCAGTCTGTCAGTTTAACAATATTGAATCTATTTCATAGTTTGACACCTTTTGATTCTGTTCTGTAATGATATTGATGTCCTACCTTCCTTCATGCACTTTCTGCTTTAACTGATACCAAAATCATTCAATTGGACTTAGTTGGACATTGTTTTCATAAGGAATGTACTGTACCATATCGCATGTTGATCAAAGGCAGCAATTATGCCTAGTGTGTAGTGGGACATTGTCAAAACACTTAATTTCCATTCAGTCAATATTTTTTCAAAAATGGAAATAGTCTTTTTTTATATACTTCTGTATTAATGCAAAATTTAGATGGTGCAATGAAGACTTGAGACCTCTATCTGATGAGAGCATCTATATCAAAAACATCAGCAACTTTGCATAATGTTTGCACTCTACTTCTGGCATAACATCATTTCCTTTTCACAATAAAATCTTTATTTCCTGCACATTCAGAACTATCCAGTGTAAAATATGACTCATTGTTCATAACAACATCCAGTTGTTGAAGTAACTCATTTGACCTTCTAACTGTATCACAGAGTACTTGGGTGCAGAAATCCACGTCCCACACATCAATATGCAAATTCAAAGTAAAGTCATATTTTAGTAATTTTATTTCTGTTGGACAATTTGAAATTTTAAGCCAGTTTACAAAGAACCCACCTCACTAACAGCTATGTAGTTAGTTTCTTATGCTTTGCTTTAGTCATTTTAACTCATTTTCTTCCACTTCCTTCACAGTTCTAGATAGCATTTTCTTCTCTTCCACGATCTTCATTATATTATATATCACAGTTTTTAGAATTCCCATTCATTTAAAATGTTATACGGCAAAAAGTTTACCCTTCATATTTCTGTTCAATTTCTTTTCACATGTGCAGAAAAAAGAAAGAAGTTACTCTCGATTTTTAATTTACATGCCTATATAGCATGGATTCCCAACCTATGGGTCGCAACCCAGAAGGGGGTCGTGATGGGTTTTTTGTGGGTCGCCAACTTATGCAGTAAACTAAAACAAAATTTTCACTATAATGCAATATTTATTTTTAATGGTGTCTTAAAGTTTAAATAATTTCATATATTTTAAAAAAATTAAAATAAGTGTAATCTGGGTACGCTATTCTGTCACAGTTGGTTGAAACATGTGTTGAGAGTTTTGAGAGGAATAAATTAAATGTTGAGAATGACATGAGGTTGGCGTTAACAAAANAAGTAAATGTGAAAAATTGTAAAATAATATAGGCCTAATTTGTTATACATATGTATTATCTAAGATTTTATTAAACATTTTTTTCTAAATTATTGTTTTCTTTAGTCTCCGACCCCAATTAAAAATTATTTGTATGTATTTATATGCGAAATTATACCCCAACTTATGCGAATTTGACTTACGCGATTACCGCTCGGTCCCACCCATCGCATAAGTTCAGGGTATTACCGTAGTAGTTAGTCAATGTGGGTTATACTGAACATCTACTCTGATCTTAAAAATAACACCTTCCTCTAAAATTTCACACAAAATCCATGTTAATCTGTGTAAGCTGAGATAATTTTCAACCAATTTCTTAAATTTAATACATTTATTTTAGGGTTTTTGAATCAAATAACAATAAAACACACACAAAAAAAAGCACTTTCCGAATTCCAAGATTATTTTACGTGGTTAGAAAAAAAAAACAAAATGAAGAAATTAAACATATAATCGTAGCTTTTGATGTAATGCTGACAGTTTCACAGTTTTAGAATAAAAACTCCGTTTGTTTTTTTTAATGCGTCTTTTAGAGTGGGATCTATAACCTCACTAAACAGATATGCCGGTTTTTACCATATGAAAATATCTGATTTCATGATCTCCCTGGCAGGCTGGTCATTCTGCAAAAATACGGTATGAATTTTCAATTACATCAGAAAGAGAAAAATTTTTTACAGTATTATGATTTATCAGTACATGCTTAAACAAATAACCATACCAAGTTTTCAATAAATTCAATTAAAATTATATATCAAACATCTTAAAAGTCTTTTTGGAATATCACAATTTGTAAAAAAAAAAAAAATGAAAAGTCCACTACTTATACCTATCTATTAAACTGATGATACTGAATTCAATAAATTTACCTAGTACCTAGATAACCTTGATCTACTTTCAAAAAATCAAGCAAGCATTAACTTTTACATATAAAAGATGAAGGAAATAATCAATTTATATGTAATTCAAGTCAAATGAATTTTATATATTTATGTATAAATCAACTTGGATTTCAAATATACAAATGAAAACTGACAAGAATGACCTTTTATTGTGTTTGATAATCATATCATTACAACACTAACATTAGAAAAAAAAATTTCCTTCAATTTAAATCTTATTTAAAATAATAATTATAATCCTATTTTGCACTATTTGTCTTATAATAAAAGAAAATTATGTTTTTTTAAAACAATTAAATGTCTTTTTTTCCCTCTTACATATCATTTGATCAGAAAATATCTTTATGAAAATGTATCAAAATGTTTGTTGCTGATAAAAAAAATCAGTTCAGTCAGACCTCACCTATTTTCATTATATTTAGAACTGCTCTGCATAACTTACTTTTAATGACATATAACTAATGTTACGCTATTACATTATATGTTGACGATTTCTACTATTTTCATCAGTTAAAACATTTAAGATTATTTAACAGATTCTAGAACATTTATTATGAAATTTATCAATTTAATATAGAAAAAATTCACTTTTCTGAATTTATTTATTTTATGTTAATCTTGGAATAGATATAATGTATAACTCTAATATATTTTTAATTAGTAAACAATAGGCCTATGCCAAACCAAAATTTTGACATCGATATTGGGCTTGTTATTGAGATTCCTTCAATATATCAATATTGAATACTGAAATATTGAATATTGATATTAAATATCAATATTGAAATTGAAAATGTCAATATCAATATTCTAGATAAATACCAAATATCAATATCATAAACATATATCAATTATTGGCACAGTACTAGTAAACAATTCTTAACTTTATTATTATTATTTGGCCATGACAACATGTTATTTGGCTTGAATTTACAATACGATATAACGGATGAAATATATTATGGTGGAATTTTGTTATAACAAACTTTTAGATGTTCTCTGATCCAACCTTCATCAGAATCCACAACAAAATCTTTCAGGTGTATAAACATTTTTAAGGTGATTATTGTAAATATATTTAAAATGTACTTTCAGTTTAATGTTCGTTTTCTCTCAAGTCCCTTAGGTACAGTAATAGAATTCTTGCAATTTTCACTTTACCACAATAACCTCATTACAACTTCTTTCTCTCTTCTTTGCTATTATCTTCTAATTACAACTGTACTCAGGGGGAAAGGGGAGAGTTCACAAGTATCAAGAGTACTATAACAAGTATCAACAAGGACAATAGACAAAGGCAGGCGTAAGTATTTAAATACCGTATATCTTTTAATTTTGTTATTTATCTTATTCCTGGTATACACGGTAAGGAAATCCTCAAAGGATGTGCTTAACAGACGAAAAAAACTTGGATATAACTGGCTGGATCGAACATAGTAATTTACAAAACTTATTAAAATATCTCCCAACGTATAAAGAATTATTTTTATTTAAAAATGGATAGATAGAAAAAAAAAAATCATGGTTAATCCTCAAAGGATTTCCTTACCGTGTATAACAGCCTTAATTTGGCACAAGGATATGATAGCATCCAGGAAAGGAAAACCTCCTGCTGGTTAGTGTCATCTGATATAGGAAACCAAAGTGTAAAAGAATATGATTCAGAGATGTAAATTAAATTGATAAATACAGAACTAAACTATTTTATTTACATCAGTGTTTCTCAACCTCTAACGAATCATCGCCCCCTTCAATAAAACCATTACGTAGTATCGCCCCCTTCAATAAAACCATTACATAGTATCGCCCACTTCACTTCAAAATTCCAATGCCAAGGGCCAAGGCTAACACCAAATTCATACTGCATTGAATAGACTAGTGACTAGTATAATGTTATTTGTTTAATTATTGTACAATATAACGAATAAAATATCTAATTATTCTTAATATAATGTTTTACTATATCACCCAGAAAATTGTTTTTCGCCCCCAAAATATAAATTGTTACTAATCACCCCCTCAACATGGAAAAACCCACATGGGGGCGATATCACCCCCATTGAGAAACACTGATCTAGATCATTCACTACAATTTGATCAATGATTTCGGTTATCATTACCAAACTTTTACTAAGGAAATATGTAGAGAAATTTTTTGGGTTCTTCGTTTTCAGAATCTCTGTTTTCATTCTATGGATTCCTTGTTCTGCCAATTCTTGAAGTCATCGTTGGAAGACTCTTACCAGAAACCTTCAGTAACTCCCCAATATACTGCTTGTCACATTACATCTCCTATATCGATTAAGTTGACAATTTGGTCAACATAATGATACAGCAATAAGCTTCTCTCAATGAGAATTCTTGGATACCTTCAGCCATAACTTCTCCACATTCCATTCATGCATTTATCAGTTAATTCTTGCCAAGCCAAGTCACTATTTCCTATGGC